CAATCATTTTAAGAAAAAAAAAAAAAAAAAAAAAAAGATTGAAGTGAATCACATGCTTGGCTGAAGATCTAATAGAGGCTGTTTTAAGATTGCTTTAGCTCTTATGGTGGCAGAATAGTAACACAGTTACAGTCAGCTTTAATAAAGAGACCACTTTTGGCCATTCTTAAAGGCATGATATCAAAATGAAGTAGAGCCTTTAATGATACACGGTTTGGGTGTGAGGGGGAATTTGCGTATGCATGTGTGTTAGTGAATGGCTTTTGGAGGATTTTATAGCTCACTGTTTACTTTGTGTTTTGCAGTGGTGCTGCATCCTCCACCATGTACTTTCATATATCACTTGAACAGCTCCACAAAGGGCTTTTAGATGTCATTTGTGTTTCCACAGCATTATAATGATAGCAGGCTGATATTCCCTGCAGAGAACTGAGACTGTAATATATTACTGCTGCAGCAATGGCCCTGGTGTCATTACCACTACTCAAAACAATGGACTACAACGGAAATGTCTGTATAATACCGTTCACATGGGCATCCACCCCTCCACACCTCTGAGCTGGGTGACAGTAGATTTTTCTAGTTTGCATTCATGGCTTTTAATCTCAAGGAGACTTGCTGATGAGATCAGTGCGATACAAGGTCACTTTGACACACCCTCTGCAACCGATTAATATTCATGTTTTATGTTGTTTTATGTCTCTAGTAATCAATGTTTTCTGTTCCACCTCCTATGGCTCCACTTTGCATGTTTCTCTCAGGGCAATGTGACCTTTTCTTGCGCTGAGCCAGTTACCATCGCTGTGACATTCCCCGGCCCCCAGAGCTTCCTCCAGGTACCGGGGCCGACGGTGTCCACATTGGGGGGCTTGTCCGTGGGGTTCCAGTTCAGGACGTGGAATAAGGTGGGGCTTCTGCTCACCTTTGACCTCCTCCAGCAAGGGGGCGTGGCCTGGCTGTACCTGAGTGAGGCCAGAGTCCAGCTACAGATTCATAAAGATGGAACGACGCTGCTGGAGCTCAGTGCAGGTTAGTGTAACAACCTCTAAAACTCTAAACCCCTCCTCTCTGGCCCCAAAGTCTAAAAGCTAAACACTAACCTTTAAAACCAAACATTTCTAAATGAGAAATATGACATTTACAGGTCTCTATTTATAAGTACTTTACCCTTATTTTCTTTTTAATCTCTTTTCCTAATGCACATTCCCTTGCTTGTTAACATGTATGTACACATTAAGAGCCACTGTACCAGAATCAAAATCCTTGTGTGTCTGACACACCTGGCCAATAAAGCTGATTCTGAAATTTATATGATTTTACATGGAACTGTCAAGGCTGCATTACCAACCAGGTAAAGTGGGCAGGTGTCTCCAGACCCACATGATTTGGAGTAAGCATGTGGGTCTGCATAATTTGATTAATCTCAGATATGAAGCAGAATATCAACTATTAACCCTGACAGGTCCTCCATCCTATGCCCCTGTTCTTGTAGTGAGACCATAAAATCTAGCTTAAAGACCATTGTTGTAGTTTATATTGAGCTCCTGGTAAACAGACATATAGAGTGCTTTTCTATCATCTATAGTGCATTACACTATTTCCCATTCACCCACCAAAAAAATGCTCTCACATTGGTGATATCACCAGAAGCAACTAGGGGTTGAGTATTCTGCTCAACACTTTCATGTGGACTAGAGAAGCCAGGGACTGAACCACTAACCTTCCAGTTGGAGGAATGCCCGCGCTACCTCCTGAGCCACAGGCACCTCATGTGTTGTTGCAGTATGTGTTGTGTTATGTTTAATCAAAATGCTCCAGTTTTTTTTTTCTGTCAAGTTATCAACACAGAACATCTTTAATCGATAATGAGCATTAGTAACAGTTTTCCATCTCCAGGTTCTGCTCTAAATGACGGTCAGTGGCATTCAGTGGATCTTAACTCCAGATATGGACGCTTCACCATCACTGTAGATAAAAAAGAAGGAGGTGTCAGCAGCCCCTCATTTCCTGTCACTGTAGGACGTCAACTCTTCTTTGGTGGTAAGAGTGGACACTGTATTATGAGTATCAGTTAATATGAAGTGCTGATATAGTACATCAAACTGAAGCATCTTCAATATCAGTGGAAATGCCTTGCAAGTATTTTTGATTAATATGCATTGAAACACCAACAGGGGAAACACAACATGAAGTTATAATAATACAGAAAATGTGTTTGTGTACTCTGAAGTATTATTGCAACACTGTTCATTTTGCGCTTGCTGAGTGAACATGATTTTGAATATTCTTGTTCTTATTGTCTGAATATTTAACAAAAGAATGCATTTAATACACCTCATTTATACACTGAACAAGGTCTCTAAGCTTTTTTTCTTTCTATCCTGATGTCTGCCAAGGTCTGGACTACCATCTACAACTACCATCTTTTTTTTCAGTGACTTTTTCAAGAATAAAATTGTTAATATTGTGTCTCTTCAAATGCAAAGAAGTGGCTCCCTTTTTTCACGATACCTTCATAGTTGAAACTATGGTATAGCTTCCCAGTTCTGTGTGTAATGCTGAGTTTTGGGGAATGTTAGTGGAATAATAGTTTGGTTGCAGTAAATACAGTAATCCTCTAGACTTACAGTAATGTGTATGTATCTCTGTGTCACAGTTGGTGCCATCAGTACCTTCACAGTTGTGTGTGCATTGAGCTAAATTCAGCTTGACTGTTTCATTGTAAAAGTGATAAGCCTGCTTCATCCCTCTCCTCTCAATGCTCTGTACTTCTCCCATGTTGCTCTTCTTTCTCATCTGGTTTTCTTTCTTCTCTCCCTTCTCCCCAGTCTTTTTCACCACAGCATCTTTTCCTTAAATCTGAGCTCTTTTGTCCTCCCTGTGCTCAGCAGTATTGCATTCCAGGCATGTTCTCAACTGCCTCCTGCTTTTTATCATCCTCCACACACAGACTAGTTAATTTTACACATTTGCATACTCACCATTTCCTCCTTTACATTAAATGGACTACAAAGGGCCACAAATCACAAGTCTCTGTGTGGTAGAACACATTTTCCATAGTGTCACTTTATTGTTCTCGTCAGGAAATTAACATAGGTTTTAACCATTATAGAATAATGAACACAGCAAATAAGGGTGTTTTCAACTATTTACTAAACTTAAACTGAATGCTATTCATCACAGTGGGTTATGCCATTTTAGCTTTTGGCTACATGTATCTTAATACACAAGCATTTAACTGTGTTTAATTGTGTTGGATGCTGCTCGTCGGTGACAGTTTATTCTCCTCTAGGAACGTCCAGTCATGATTAATAGTTGTCTATAAAGCACTGAGTAAAACAAAACAAGTCAGTTATCAGTCCCTTGTATCAGAATCTGTGTACTTCATTACTGGCTTGTCCTTATATCCAGTCACTATTGATTCGTGTCACAGCTTTACTGCTTTTCTATTCGCTATAACTGTTTTCTTTACGTTCTCGCCCAGGTTGTCCCACTGAAGACAACAGTGAGAATTGCAGCAACCCCTTTGACATTTTCCAGGGCTGCATGCGTCTCCTCACTGTGGACAACCAGCCAGTAGACCTGATCATGGTGCAGCAAAGGCTGCTGGGAAACTACAGCCACCTGCAGATCGACATGTGTGGCATCACTGACAGGTCAGGACCACCCAAACCACTTTTCATGTTCTACCGTTAAGCCATCGTTTAAACTTCTCTGCCATTGCAGAGGCATTGAGACATCGCTGCAGATACATTTACCATCTTTTGACAAACAATCATATGCGGTTCCAACCACAAACTGCACCTGCTGGTTAGCAATCCCCAGTTGTTATCAACGTTTGGAGCCTGGTGTTTTGATCCCTCAGGGAATGTGGGAAACCTGCGAGTGTTCGGTGTAAACCATGTGGCACAGCTTTACATTGTTTTTCTGTTAAAATAATAATTTCTCCCAACAGAGCAGCATTTAGCTTTGGTAGTGGGTGAAATGAATACAAACACTATAGTGCTCTGACATTAAATATATATTTAGTCCTTCACTTTTAATGTTTGTTGACCACTGTACTAGCTACCATTACTGCGCCTCTGGTTTGATTTGACAGTTTTACACCATACTGAACACAGGCCTGTTTTCTGCTCTCTGTTATTCAAACTGTAGACAACAGACCTCATCTCTTTACTCATTAATAGATCAGAACACTACCAGGAGTTGGATTTCTTTTTTTTTATCCTTTATCGTTATGTCTCATTACACAAGTACACAAGACTAAAATCTTTGGTTTCTTCTTTGTAACACTGTAATGACAGCTCATCTATAAGAACACCATTTCTACATGGAAAGAATGAATAATTGTATAAAAATGGTAACTGCTAATATAAAGTGATAATAGAAACCAGTTAAAACTGTTATGTGGATTTGTGGACAGGAGTCTGTGCAAGTATCTTTGTGCAATTGTGGGTTTATGTAAGTCAAGAAGTTGACTTAAAGAGCTGAGGTGGCTCGGGCATCTGTTTTGGATGCCTCCTGGGCACTTTCCTAGGGAGGTGTTCCGGGCATGTCCCACCAGGAGGAGGCCCCGGGGAAGACCCAGGACACGCTGGAGGGACTATGTCTCTCTGGGTTGGTGTTGTACATCTGTAGGCCAGGCTGTCATTTGTTTGTTTTAGCAGCTGAAATGGTCTATGGTTGTGGTCTCTGATGGTCTGAGGAGCCTTCTTGACAGCAATTGGTGTAGGTCCTGGATGGAGAGAAGCTCATGTCCACAAAACTGTGGAGAACTCTGTGGTTGCGCCACCACACCTTTCATTCAGCAGGTTAGGATGCTCTTAATGGAGTTATTGTATGTGTAAATTGAAGCTCTGTGCTCTACCAGGAGTGGGGTTCGAACCCACGTGGGTATTTACCCATTGGATCTTAAGTCCAACGCCTTAACCACTCGGCCATCCTGGTACTCTTATATGTAAGTTACACTTCATAACGGGGCCTACATTTCCTACTTAAATGAACTGATGATTTGTTCAGAATCTGCTAAAGCACTGAGTCTTTTCAACATGAAGGCAGATGAGTCTCTTAAGATTCTGATCCCACCTGTCAGTGCAACCCTCGGTTTATAAGTGCAGTTCAGGAGGAACATAGGGCAGGTTGTCCACTGATCACAGGGCTGGGGGTTTGATTCCCAGCTCATTCAGTGCACATGATGTGTCCTTAGACAAGATCCTAAACCCCAGGTTGTTCCTAGTGGCCAGCCCAGTACCTCACCACCATCTGTGTGTAAGTGGGTGAACGAGAAGCAAAAATCGTAAAGGGCTTTGTCTGTTAAGGTGGAAAAGTACAGTAAGTGCTGTCCATTTACCACCCACTTGTTTAACACTCACTGGTGCTGCACAAGATGCTTCGTGAAATCCAACATCGTTTCCACTTTGCATCCACTTAAATATCCATAGGTAGAAATGTCAGACACAAAGATTTTATGAATGATCATCAATCATCTTATGTAGGGAATCACATCCGGTGGTGAGTAAAGAGCTGCCACATATCTGCTCTTTGCTTAGGCGAGGATAAGATTCAAGGATGCTTTGTTTTAAGAGAAGGTTAAAATTGGAAAATGGGGTTTTATGTGGGGATTTATGACAGCATGGTCTGACACCCCCCTCTTTGGGACCAAATAATGGTTAGACATCATTTAATTTGTATAGTGAGCTTCCATATGAATTGTCTCCCATTCTTTGGCACATTAAATTGTGTATTATTGATATAGGTAATCACATCGGGTAGCGAACACCAAATACCATACCTACAAGATTAACATGATTCATAGAGCAACTTACAGTATGTTATTGAACCATTAGCACAGTGACAAACAGTCCAGACTGTAAGCGTTCAGACAGTGACACATTTTTTGTTCTTCCAACTCTGTTTCAGCACATTCATTTGAAATAAACAGCACATATTACATTAAGTCTCAGCTTTAATTTGAGCAGGCTTACATCAGTGTAGAAATAACTGTGTGAGATATAGCCCTTTAACACATAGTGCTCAAAGTTTAGGTGTTGCAGAAGTAATAACCTAACTGAATATATGTCCACTTTAGAAGTTTTCAGAATGATGATGCCATCAAAAACTAAATTATAATACTAGCAAGTACAGAGTTAAGTTATTTTGCAAATTGATTTTTGACACCACTGAGTCAGATGTCTGTTAAATTTATTTTTCTTTTCTGAGCTGCCTTGATTATTTTGAGACCAAGCTTTATATGAGACACCACCTTTGTAGAAATGAAATGCAATTTCTCTTTTCTTTGATTTTTTGGCACACTAATTTATTTGTGAGGTGAGGTGGTGTGGAGTGTTGGATCTAGGAAAGCCATAAACAAACACACACACACACACACACACACACACACACATGAACAAACAATCAAAAGCATGCTCACACTCGCAATATTTCCATTAAGGGACAGAGAATTATTGTTCAGTGGAGACCTGTGGTGTGAAATAACCACTGACAGCCCAGTTTGTTTTATTCTTCCTGATAGCTGACATATTTCTCACTAAAATAATAAGCGTCATTTTGTATATCTTACTTGTTTTAGGATTTTTCAGTTTTAATCAAGACTGTTTCAATTAGCACCGTGTTGTTTTCAGTAGTGTCGCTATCATATCACAAATCAGAGAGGACAGTTTAAACATGAGCGTGAAGGTCTAAGCCAAATGTCACAGAAGTCCATCCTATAGTTGTTGAAACATTCCATGTAAAACAGTATATATCAGCCACATGGTGGCGCTACAGCAAAGGTCACAGGATCACATAAATTTGTAGGTTTCATCAGGTGGGTGCCATGAATGTCTGTGCAGAATTTCATGGCAATCTATCCAGTAGTTGACATACAGCTATAGACCACATATGGCAGAGAGATACTCAATGACATGCAGAACAATAGAGGAGCGACAGTTCACTGTTGTGTATCGTTTTCATTTTCATCTCTGTAATCTCATTTGCACTAATCTCATTCCAACAGAGTAAGTCATGTGGAGCAGAACCAACTGCCTCCTGTTTCACAGTGACACTAAAAACACAACACAATTAAAGGAACAATTGTAAATACATATAAGGCAACAGCCAGCAGTTATATACATACTGTATGTACACATACTGTACATGTGACCCCGGATAGACACAACAGCCTCACATGAGAAGGAGAATTTGCTCCAGTGTGTTTAATTAAACATCTTCCTGTTTCAACTTTTATCTATTTATGATTCAGCAGAATATAGCTCCTGTACAGAGCTAAATGCTCACTGGAACAGAACACAAAATGCTATTTCCCAGTTGCTTCACAGTTTCTCTGTTGATTATATCTGGGGTCAATGGGATATAAAGTTTAAAGGAAATTGAATTATAGATATAGCTTCCATATGTTTCAAAGCAGGCTGTTACATCCATCTGACTTAATAGCAGTGTAACCCCATGTAATGAGTCAGTGTTGAAGCAGCCATGCCTCTAATAAATTTGACCTGTCTGTGTTGAGGAAGGAATGGAGCTGGATCAACTCTCTGATCTAATTTACTTCAGGTCTAACCTCTGTTCACAGTGCAGGCAACATTGTCAAAGAGTCAACAGAAGCCACTTCCTGTAGAGGTGAATGAGGGAAGTGAGAGTTATCTTGGGGACACCTTAACCACTTTTTCTGTGCTCAGGCAGACGAAAATCTCTAAAGTAAAAATGTCTTTTTTATATACAGTAGGAATGCCTGAAGGCTGAGCCAATTAAGCAGCCCAGGTTATTAATTATATTGAATATTCTAAGTGATTTACACAGTCCAAACTTTCACAGAGACTCCAGTGTCACTTGCTGTCACTGAGGATGTTGTAGAACTGGAACTAGAGCTAGAGCGTCGAGCTTTAGTAGGTAAGCCAAACAGATTTTTTCCTATATATGGACTCGGTGCTATCAGTTAAATAGATCAGTAACCAAGGGGCCATGATGGAAAAGAGCAGCAATATAATAATAGCATGTCCTCAGAACAATTGTGAATCAAGTTTTGTACTGATTTTTTTGGAATGAGCTTTGCTTCAGATCCCAAAGCAACAGTGAGCTGTGAAGTTCACAGTTTTCATTCTCACATCCACACACACCTGATTCATACGCTCGGGTTCATTCGGCTCCAAAGACCTGAGACATTTGGCAGTAAAACAAGATCCAACCCATTACACTGAGAAGAATTTCAACATGGTCCCTCAGCCAAGCAGAGACAACTTCATCTGTCCAAGCAATTTTTTTAAATTTTTTTTTAAACCAATTGGAGCATATCAGTAGTGGGGTTTGAACCCACATGGGCATTAGAGCTTAGTTATAATACCTTGACCACTCAGCCATCCTGGCTTTCATGGGCTTGTTAACAAAAAGAAAAATAGTATCAATATTAAAATGCCCCACAAACTAATCTAGAATGTTGACAAAATTAATTTTGGAGGTTCATAAACACTGTGCTGAATTGGCAGGAACCCAAATGCCTGGTGCTCAACATCAGACGTCTGAAAGCAGTCAAAGAAAATGCAAACATCTTGAGGTTACGCACACAGGAGATGAGCTTTGTATCAACAATACATACCAGTAATGATCTCACGGTAAGACATACTGTACATTTTGCAGCAGCTAT